CGCCTCACAGACCCATTCTCTTTGCCCGTGTCATTGTGCTGTTGGCAACTCGCTGCGCTGTTTAGGACCAATGTCAAGAAAGACTGTAACTGCAGTTTAGAATTTCCCCTGTAAAGTGGTACATACAGTATTGCAGTATTTTAAATTCAAATGTGTTATGATAGTTAACAACTTGACAACTTCTTTGATTCCCCTGACATGTCCCACCCGCCAACGAACCGGAAGTGACTTGTGCATTCTTTATGCAGAAACTGACGTTGGTCTTCTCAGTAGAAAAAAAAAAAAAAATCGGAATTCCCCAGTAGTAAGTTAAACAGTTAGCAAATTTTACCCCACCAGAACATCTTCTTCTTCTTCTTTTCTTCTTCTTCTTCTTCTTCTTCTTCTTCTTCTTCTTCTTCTTCTTCTTCTTCTTCTTCTTCTTCTTCTTCTTCTTCTTCTTCTTCTTCTTCTTCTTCTTCTTCTTCTTCTTCTTCTTCTTCTTCTTCTTCTTCTTCTTCTTCTTCTTCTTCTTCTCTTCTTCTTCTTCTTCTTCTTCGGTCTCTTCTTCTTCTTCTTCTTCTTCTTCTTCTTCTTCTTCTTCTTCTTCTTCTTCTTCTTCTTCTCTTCTTAGTTCTTCTTCTCTTCTTCTTCTTCGGTCTTCTTCTTCTTCTTCTTCATCTTCTTCTTCTTCTTCTTCCTCTTCTTCTTCTTCTTTTCTTCGTCTTACTTCTTCTTTCTTCTTCTTCTCTCTTTCTTCTTCTTCTTCTTCTTCTTCTTCTTCTTCTTCTTCTTCTTCTTCTTCGGATTCTTCTTTCTTCTTCTTCTTCTTCTCTTTTCTCTTCTTCTTCTTCTTCTTCTTCTTCTCTTCTTCTTCTTCTTCTTCTTCTTCTTCTTCTTCTTTCTTCTTCTTCTTTTTCTTCTTCTTCTTCTTCTTCTTCTTCTTCTTCTTCTTCTTCTTCTTCTTTTCTTCTTCTTCTTCTTCTTCTTCTCTTCTTTCTTCTTCTCTTCTTCTTCTTCTTCTTCTTCTTCTTCTTCTTCTTCTTCTTCTTCTCTCTTCTTCTTCTTCTTCTTCTTCGTCTTCTTCTTCTTCTTCTTCTTCTTCTTCTTCTTCTTCTTCTTCTTCTGATTTCTTCTTCTTCTTCTTCTTCTCTTCTTCTTCTTCTTCTTCTTCTTCTTCTTCTTCTTCTTCTTCTTCTTCTTCTTCTTCTTCTTCTTCTTCTTCTTCTTCTTCTTCTTCTTCTTCTTCTTCTTCTTCTTCTCTTCTTCTCTTCTTCTTCTTCTTTCTTCTTCTTCTTCTTCTTCTTCTTTCTTCTTCTTCTTCTTCTTCCTTCTTCTTCTTCTTCTTCTTCTTCTTCTTCTTCTTCTTCTTCTGTCTTCTTGAGGAGGAGGATTCTTCTTTCTTCTTTCTTCTTCTTTCTTCTTCTTTCTTCTTCTTCTTCTTCTTCTTCTTCTTCTCTTCTTCTTCTTCTTCTTCTTCTTCTTCTTCTTCTTCTTCTTCTTCTTCTTCTCTTCTCTTCTGAGGAGGTCGGAGGAGGATTCAGCTGATTCTTCTTCTTCTTCGTCTTCTTCTTCTTCTTCTTCTTCTTCTTCTTCTTCTTCTTCTGTCTTCTCTTTTCTTCTTCTTCTTCTTCTTCTGCTTCTTCTCTTCTTCTTCTTCTTCTTCTTCTTCTTCTTCTTCTTCTTCCTCTTGCTTCTTCTTCTTCTTCTTCTTCTTCTTCTTTTCTTCTTCTTCTTCTGCTTCTTCTTCTTCTTCTTCTTCTTCTCTTCTTCTTCTTCTTCTTCTTCTTCTTCTTCTTCTTCTTCTTCTTCATTCTTCTTCTTCTTCTTCTTCTTCTTCTTCTTCTTCTTCTTCTTTCTTCGTCTTCTTCTTATTCTTCTTCTTCTTCTTCTTCTTCTTCTCTTCTTCTTCTTCTTCTATCTTCTTCTTCTTCTTCTTCTTCTTCTTCTTCTTCTTCTTCTTTCTTCTCTTCTTCTTCTTCTTCTTCTTCTTTCTTCTTCTTCTTCTCTTCTTCTTCTTCTTCTTCTTCTTCTTCTTCTTCTTCTTCTTCTTCTTCTTCTTCTTCTTCTTCTTCTTCTCTTCTTCTTCTTCTTCTTCTTCTGCGTTCGACATCAGTCATGCTACAAACTGAGTCCCGTCTGGGTCAAAAATAGGATTGTGCGTTTAAGGTCGCCACCGGTCACCCATAGCTTCTCTCGCAATGTGGATCCCCTGGGCCAGATCCACAGTCTTTGTTGTGATAGGTAAGGGCAGTACTGCAGTATGTGCTCAGGGGTCTGTCTTTCTGCTCCACAATCACAGGCAGCAGATTCTTTTATGCCTATCCTGTAAAGGTGTGCTCGAAGACCACAGTGTCCAGTCCGAAACCAGAACATCACACAGAGCGATAAACACCTGATGACACAAATTGCCACCATACGCATGAGGATCACACGTAGAAAGGTTCCGGAAACAGCGTTTAACCGGTAGGCTATATTGCGAACCCTGGTAACAGCCGGGGTGGGGCTTCAAAATAACGAACAATTGCATCCCACAAAGGGGACAACAGTTATAAGCTAAAAATAAATTAATGTCGAATTCAGGATCGACATTGCTGCACACATGTCTGTGTCTCCAACTTTAGCCATCCAAGACCTTGATCCTTTTTTAGTCCGTGGCCCTTAGTTATAGCTAATGGTTGATGCATGAGGTGCTTTTTGTCTGCAGGTACTCTGAGATATGACTTTGCTTGCAGAACTTTAAGCTAATCTGTAATACTAGGCATTGCAAGTAAATATCGTATACACACTGATTGGACATCTCTTGTAAACTCCAGAACTAACACCCAATTAGAAGCTGTGGCGAAATATTGCGCAAACATTGCCTAGTGGAAACATAAGCAAAAACACCTGGCTTTGGTTCTACAACGTCCTGCCAGTGAAGGATACGCAGCTAACTTTTTGCTGGGTAAAAGGTTGACCAATTCGTCTTCATGCTGGTTGACTATTTAAAAAAAGACTTTTGTGTATTATGATGCACCGGTTCTATTTCACACACACACACACACACACACACACACACACACACACACACACACACAGATGAACAGGTAAACAGACAGACAGACAGACAGACAGACAGACAGACAGACAGACAGACAGACAGACAGACAGACAGACAGACAGACAGACAGACAGACAGACAGACAGACAGACAGACAGACAGACAGACAGACAGACAGACAGACAGACAGACAGACAGACAGACAGACAGACAGACAGACAGACAGACAGATAGACAGACAGATAGATAGACAGACAGACAGATAGATAGATAGATAGATAGATAGATAGATAGATAGATAGATAGATAGATAGATATATAGATAGATAGATAGATAGATAGATAGATAGATAGATAGATAGATAGATAGATAGATAGATAGATAGATAGATAGATAGATAGATAGATAGATAGATAGATAGATAGATAGATAGATAGATAGATAGATAGATAGATAGATAGATAGATAGATAGATAGATAGATAGATAGATAGATAGATAGATAGATAGATAGATAGATAGATGGATGGATGGATGGATGGATGAGGATGGATGGATGGATGGATGGATGGATGGATGGATGGATGGATGGATGGATGGATAGATAGATAGATAGATAGATAGATAGATAGATAGATAGATAGATAGATAGATAGATAGATAGATAGATAGATAAAGAAGGACTAGGTGTAAAAAAAAGGGGGGGGGGGGGGGGGGGGGGGAGGGAGAGAAGAGAAAGAAAGACATTGCCAGGAACAAAAGGGAGACAACCCAAGCATATTGTGTAGGAAAGCAATTGATCAGAGTGGCTGTCGCTCATGAATTATTTCTGTTGTTTTCTTCGCTTTCACTGACCGTCAAATTCAGCAAAATAAATACTTTTGTAAGGTTTCTCACCTGTGCATGTTCATTTGTTTGACTTCAAAAAAGAAGAATGAGAAAATGATGCAACACAATCATCACACTTGTAAGGTTTCTCTCCTATATGTATGAGTGATAGTTACTTTGGACTGGGGATCCTGAGAATGGATAACCGGTTAAAAAAAAGTTTGTTGTGCAAGAGCTGATCGTTGAGAATTCACGCTCACTTGACATCATTATAAACACAGATCGGTCTGTAGTGAGAGGTATGAAGAGTGGATGGGGTTTTATTGTAAACGTAAATGGACACTATTTGAAAAAAAAAAAAAAAAAAGTCTTGCACACTCTGAGTGGTTTTCATTGGCACAAGAATGGAACAAATAAGGGGTGACCCATTTGCCAAGAAATTGAAACTGTGATTATCTTATGTGTTATATTGTGCGACTTCAGACTGGCAGCTCGGGAAAATTACCAAGTCATCACACTTGTAGGATCTCTCTCCTGTATGCGTTCTGAGGTGTAATTTCAACAAAAGCCAATTGAGAAAATGGTGCACTACAATCACCACACTTATAAGATTACTTTTCCTTCTTTTGTGTGATTATGGAATGTAAAATTGTGAAACTGATGCACCACATTACCTATACTGTATTTGACAGATGTATCCCATGTATGTACTGTCAGGTGCAATTTTAGAAGATGAGATCGAAAAAATGATGCACCACAATCGTCCGCTTGAAAGGCTTTTCACTTGTATGCGTTTTGTTGTGGGATTTCAGACTGCCAACTCGAGAAAATGATGCACCACAATCATATTTGTAAGGCTTCTCATATGTATGTGATCTCTTGTGTGATTTCAGATTGCCAGCTGGAGAAAATAATTCCCCACAGTCGTAACATTTGTAAGGTTTCTCGTCTGTGTGTGTTCACTTGTGCTCCACAATCATCCCACTTGAAAGGTTTCTCATGTATATGAATTGCGATTTCAGATTGCCAGCTGGAGATAATGATTCACCCCAATCTTTAAATTTGTAAGGTTTCTCTCCTCTATATGTACTCCCATGTGACTTCAGATGGACGTCATGCAGTCACCACTATTGTTTGGTTTCTCTCCTGT